ACACACTGAGGCAGAGCAGTAGCTCAGGATGCAAACATGCAGGCAGTAAGTAAACCTACTAGTGCAGGGTACCTGGAATAGCCTATTTTCAACTGCTTTTACTAATCCAAGGAAACAGATTGTAGTTTAAAGATAGAAAGTCAGTGATTATGAAAAGCCACAGGAAAAAAAAACAACCCATAACTCTCATAAAGATTACAAGAGGGTCACTTAGAGTCTGATGAACTTCAACGAAGAGCCAGAGGGATTTGTTTTGTTGGACTCCAGTGCGGCAAGGCTGAAGCTTTGGGCCTTTGAGGAAAAAGTGGTGAAAGACATGCAAAAGATTTTACTTTCGTAATTCAGGAAATACTGAACCTGTAAAACAGAGTGGCCAATCTAAGTGGCTAAAATCCAAAGCTATAGATTTCCTTAGTACTCTGAAAGCTCTTTTCACTTCCCTGAAGCAGCCTTCCTAGAAGATACCATAGCTTGCCAGTAAAGATATGTATTCAGTCTGGTTTTACAGAAACATAGTTTATCTAACATCTGATTACAAATGAAGAGTCAGCAGACAGGGGAGTCAAGTCAAGACACTGACACTCAAGTTATAATTTCCATGTGTAATTTCTAGCCCCTGTTACCTCCCCTCTACAACAGGCAGGTGAAAAATGCTGTTGAAGCATCTGAGCACCTCTTGGGAAAGCATGCACAGCCAGATGTTGATCTGTATTTACCACCATTAAGTAACAGATTGGTATCAGTGAGATGACAGTTGTCACTGGCTGAGAACAAAATGACTGTAAGAATGGAAACCCATATCAAGAATCACTGGGGACTTGCAGAAGTACAGAGAACCAAATAAGACCAAGCCATAAAAACCCAGTATGACTTAGAGTCTGCAAACAACTTTTCAGCTGAGGGAAGAGCAAGGGTGAATCAGCCGTCACAAAGAACTTGATGCCCAAAGGTCTGTGCCATGGTTTTCTGCTTACCTAGGTACATAGTGGAGACGAGGTGGAGGAGGTGAACATCTTTCAGTGCTCCAGATAGGAGGATGGCAGTGGACCTGCTGTTTTGCCCTAAACTGAGAACAGTCACATTCTGAAGATAGAGGAGCCTCCATGACAGAGTGTGTCAGGAACAGACCACCCGTCCCTGATTGTAGTAGGGCTGATCTCCAGAAAAATCCATGGGAAAGGCAGGTCCAAGACTCAGTAAACACTATCTGCAAACTGGGTTGCTTATGAGCCATGTTGTAAATGCAGGTAGTTTGTGTCCAGTGAGGCTGTATTGGAAACTACATTTTCTAAGCTTTTGCTTGACAGGGTAAATTTAGGCTAGAGCAAGCCTTGGTATGGCCATGTTATATAACTGACCCTGTAGAAAGCAGTTCCACAACCACTCTTAACAGAGAGTGCAGAACATCATGGCCTGAGGTGAATCATCCCACTTCAGTTATGATCTGAGCTTTGAATTCAGGGCAGGCTTTTCAAATAAGCGTGGCACTCAGTGAGAAACCACAGCAGCAAGAGGAGAGGAGGGCAACAGGGAGGGGTGGGAGCTTTGGAGAAGAGAAGCAGCAAAGCAAGAACTAAAAGCAAGGGGCAGATGGTGAGAAGCTGTGTGAACGGGGAAGTGGGATAACGCAAAAGGGGAATACAGCAAGTGCGGACAGTTTGCAGCCCAGCCAGGCTGAAGTGAATAAATCTCTTCCCTGCTGGAGGCTCGGCAAACACAGAAAAGGTCTCATGGCCCCTCAGGATTGCCTGAGTGATAGCTCACATAAAATAAATCCTATCAGGGCCCAGGGTAATGAGAATACCTGCTGTGGCCATGCTCTGCATGCACAAAGAAATGAGCCTCATGTTCCCCCTAGGAAAAGGTTCCCGCCACTGCTGTCTGTGCTGAAAGACAAGCTTCCTGTTCAGCTCCCGCTTTACTGTGAAGTGCAACCATCATTTCTAAAAGAGCCTTCTTGCCCTTTTCGCATCCTCACTGAGGAAGCAGAACCCCACAGAAAGAGAGGGAGAGATGGGGCAGTCCTTGCTGCTTTGAAACCCAGATGCGAGAATGGTATCATGCATTTCCTCCCTTGCCCACCATCCCACATGAGTGCCATTCAAACCCACACCACTCAGATCCGGTGCCCAGGGCACTGGAAGTCTCTCAGAGCAAAGCTGTCTCACTGAGCAATTCTTTCCCATTAGCATCTTCCTCAAACTCAGTAAAGGGAACAGGAAACCCCAGATGGGTGACTGCCTGCCCTCAGCCCTGCTGCACATGCAGAAGGAAACTCATGTCAAGAGCACCTCTTGGTGGTGTGAGAGGACATCAAAGCAGAAACAGACCTGTATGTGCTGAGTTTGGGGTTATGGGCCTATTTCCTGCAGTTGCTTTCTCTTTCCTGCAGCCTGTACGACTGAGAGGTTTTACTGTAGCAGGTGCCTGTTCTCAGTTATTACAGTGTGGTCAGTGTGTCATCTGAATACAATATCCCAATTTTAATAAAGTGATGGAAAGAAACACCCTAAAAGCCTTTATGGACATCCCTATCATCCCTCTTAAAGGTCATTAGTCAAGGAGGGATGTTTATATTCACCCCAGAAGTAGGGTTGGAGATACACTTTCTGTCCAGGACTTACGTAGGTCGTTGTTGACTATATAGAACTACAGTGCCTTTGACACGGGGCTCATCCAGACATGGGATCGCAGCAACACTCAACACCACTTTTAACTTGTCTTCTTCTTCCCCAGTTCCTTCCACGCTGCCAGTCACACAAGCCCATATGCCAGACTACAAAGGACAAAAGTGCACACTGGATTCAGTAGGTCAGTGGTCCTTGTTCGTCCCTGCCAACAAGGTCCTACTGTGCTACTGGCCAGTTTTCCATCCAGTCTCCCTTAGCCTGAATCCTATCCCAAGCTCCAGTACCCTTACATGACTGTGGCTCTGTCACAGGTAAGGCTCGTTGTATTCTTCAGACCTCCCCAGCTCTTTTCCCTTCAGTCTTCATCATTCCCACCCCAGATGTCCACTCCGTTTTTCCCACCCTACTTCTACCCAGGCCCATAAAGGTTATTAGAAATCTTCAGGGAAAAGATCTGCTGAAAACAGAAATGTTCCTTTGGAGCCATATATACTTGCCTTCTTGTCTTAGTCCTATCTCCTGGCATGCTGTATTCTGCGGCTGCCTGCCCTTTCCAGCTCCTCCCTTTAACAGTCTTTGTCACTCTTGCTTCTGTCCTCCTCTGACCTGTATTCCTATGGCTGATTCCTGCTCTCACTTGCAGAGGAAGCAGTGGGTTTCCTTCCTCCCCCTTCCCTACCACCCACAGAGGGAACACCTGGTTACAGCTGGTCACTTTGTGCTTCTGAAATTGCCTCAAGACTTGGAAATGTTCCACAGTTGAAGGCTTCTGGGCTGCAGCCAGTGCCAAGTGATAGATTGGAGAGCAGAGCTCTCCTCCTGAGCAGCAACAACCTCCCATTGCTGCAGCAGCATAAAGGTCACCAACCTTTGGAGAAACACTTTCCCTCAGAGTTCCTTCCTTCAGGAACATCCCAGCTGGAATCCTACTGTTCCTGGTCTAACTGGCCTCCTGACAAAGCCTGGATATGCTAGTTTATCCGGTATCACCACATCCCTTCTTCTATAGAATGCATCTCCTGCCCATCCACTCATCAGTTCAGGCTGGAGCACACATATGTGCACACATATGCACTTTTTCAGGCTTAGCATTGCATGAGAGGAGAAGGAAGAGGAGGCAGGCCCTCATTTCAAGAAGGGAACGGAAGGAGTAGAGTCTCCTGCAATCCTTGTCTCTTCCTTCTTAGGTTATTGCTTGCTTCTTTTTCTTGCTGCCTAGCTCTACAATTCTTCTGGTTTTGGAGGACGATGAGGAAAGGCTGAGAGAGTTGGGATTGTTGAGCCTGAGAAAACAAGGATCTGGGAAGACCTTACTGTGGCATTTCAATACATAATGGATGCTTATAAGATGAGGCCTACCCTAACAATAGGACAAGGGGTTATGGCTTTAAAATAAAAGAGAGTAGATTCAGACTAGATAAAAGAAAGAAATTTTTTATTAAGAGGGTGCTGAGGTCCTGGCACAGGTTGCCCAGAGAAGCTGTGGCTGCCCCAATCCTGGCAGTGTTCAAGGCCAGGTTGGATGGGGCTTGGAGCAACCTGCTCTAGTGGAAGGTGTCCCTGCCTATGGCAGAGGGATGGAACTGGATGAGCTTTAAGGTCCCTTCCAACCCAAACCATTCTATGATTCAATGACAAGATGGAAGAGGTCTGGCAGCAGATCCCATGTGCCACTTTTGTACAGAAGTGGGGGGAAGGGTGGGTATGAGATGCTGGTTTGCAGGGCTCCTCTCATGCACCAGTCTTGGCTGTCATAGTACTGGAAACATACATTAAAACAGTTCATTGCATCCCTTGGTGCACTTGCTCCACTTCATGGTGAACACAGAGGTTCACACAGTACTTCTTTGTATTAGCAATCTGGGCAGGTGGGGAAGTGCAGCAGGACCTTATTGCCACCAGAGGGGATGGCATGGGATTCCTAGAGGCTGCTTAACCTCCTTGCTCAGCCTTCACAGGAAACACTGCTTCTTATGATGTTTTGCCGTTCACACACATGGGCACTGGGAAGACATGAAAAATCATTGCCCTACATCACCCCACTGCTTTGACTTCAGATCCTCTTCCCTGCCTACCACCCCCCCCCAAAGTTTGGATGATAAAGGAGGAAAGAGGAAATCCACCTTTCTGCTTTCTCACCTGCTTCTAACCTTTGTCCAGCTCCCCTGTAAAAGCAGTTTGGTGCCCCCAGCCGTGTGGGGTGGGGTGGGAATGGGTGAGACACAGGGGGAGAAGAAAGATACTACAGCAGTCATCATCCCAACCATGCAGTCATGCATGCCCCGCCTTCAGCTAACGGCCTCGGCCGCAGGGTTGCTGCTGTGGTGGGAAGGGAGGAGGGACCGGAGGGTGACTGTCAAATACAGTTCCCTCTTCCACTTCCTCCCTCCCTCCAACCTGCCGCTCACTGCAGCACAACGGCCGAGACTCAGATCTGCCCATCTCTCCCCGCTGTTTGCCTTGGCCTGACTTCCCTTTGCCCCAGGTGCCGACCTCTGCCACGGGTCCAGAGACATGCAAGCTATCAAGTGTGTGGTGGTGGGAGACGGGTAGGTACCCAAAGGTTTGCTGTGGATGCTGGGAGGGAGAGCGGGTGACAAGGGGCAAGAAATAGGGTGTCTGCTTGGTGAACCTTCCCCAGCTCTGCTTCTGACCTCCTGCAGACTGCGTTCCCTCCTTCTCGCTCTTCCCTCCCCAGGGCAAGGGACCTTCCTCTGGGAATGAAGTAGAAGAGGTCATTTTGAAGGGCATCTGCCAAAGAGGCGTGGAAAGTGGGTCAGGGTCTGTTCCAACACAGGAGGTGGTAGCATTGCTGCCAGGTTCAACCTGTACGCAGGAGTCAGATTTAAAACCCGACAAGTGCAAGTGCTCTCCTGCAGGTGAATGGCTCCTTGAAAGCCATCTGCTCACTGGGACCGACTGGGAGAGGGCACAGCACTATGATCCCGAATCTCTGTGTTCAGCACATTGTATTGGAGTGTGGGGGAGAGTGTTTGGCAAGGGGTTTCTGTGGGCCCAAGGAGGACGAGCTTTTTACATTGAGTATATGCTACTTTGGGAGTGAGAGGTAGCACAGCTTTGCCTTTACAGTGTGATGGTGTCACTGCCCATATCCCGTGATCCCTAGAAACGGCCTGATCTAAGCCATCACTAAGGGAAGCAGTCAGTACTGCTTGGGGCCGAAGGGACAGGACTTCTTCTTGCCCTGTTGGATAACAGGGAAGGAGAGTCCACGTTGGGCATGGAGTAGGTTAATTCATTTCCCAGCAAGGAGCTGACCAGACTGCTATCTGGGGCAGCTATCAGGTAGCAGATGAAAACACATTTGCAGCAACCCCGCTCCCCACAGTCACTTCCTCCTTCAAAACTCGCCTGGGGAAGAAGACATCTGCAAACATAGCAGTACATGTTAGACATATTCTCAGGCGCTGGAGCAAGGGGATGGCGAGAAGGAACAAGGAAGGAGAGACCCTCCAGTAAAACCATTACCTCTAAGAACAGTCTTCTGAAGGCTTCAAGCTAGAGCTGGGTGTTTATCTGTTGCCCTGTTAAACCTGCAGTTTACTACCTACACATTATACCAACCATATACCTAGCCATGCCTCAAGGCAGCATTCCCCTCATATCATGGCTAACCCCACAACATGTCCTGCTTTCAACGGCTCTGACCCAAACTCCTCTTAAATGTCTACTGTCTTGTCGTTTTGCTTCTCTGTGCACTACACCTCCCCTCTCACCATCTTGCAATGCAGCAGTCCAGTTATCCCCCACAGCTCTGAGCAATTGGTCCATCACCCTTCACCTCCCTCCTGGCCATATCAGCCTTTCACCCTCCCTTGGCTCAACCTTCGCGACCACAGGACCTTCTGCCATCACTCAGCTAAGCCCCTTGATGTTGCCCCATAAGCTGTTCTGGCCCTATATCCCACATCACTGACCTATTAACACTGAGCTCTGCCCCAGTAACCTCACCTCTTCTCTCAATAGCTTGGTGGTACCCTTCACCTCTTCACTGACCCTTTGTGTTCCCCTCTGTTCAATCGCACTAGTTCAGAACCATCCCTCCGTGCATGACTGACTCACCCACAGTCCTGTAGATCTCCTGAGCCATTACCTGTGGAGCTTAAGGAAGTCTCTGTGGCCCTCCCCAGTATCTCTGCAATAAAAGGGAAGTAAGGGAGCTGGGAAAGAGAAGGGACTGGGAGAGGAGGATCTAAGAAAGGGAGGTGGCAGAAGGAAGAAACAAGTGTAAAAGCACGCTGAAGAGCTTTGTTTCCTCCTCAGCTTCCCCACAGAGCAGTGGCCAAGGCAGATGCCTTGTGAATAAGGGCAAAGATGCTGTACCTGCCAAGGGCACACAAAAAGGCAACGTTGCAGCTCTGCAACAGGGGACTTTGCAGGTACAGCTGACATGGTTGGAGCATCCCCAGGAGCGGGACTCTAGGAAAGTCATCTCTCCCCTCCTGTGGCTGTGCTCGCAGGCTGAGGAGGCAGGTTGCTCTCACCACCTCCATTTTACATATACTGCAACTGAAACCTAGCCAGACTTTTCCAGGCCACCCAGACCTGAGAAGCAGCAGCACAGCAAGAGAAGGATTCTCCTTCCCACTCCTGTCCTGGGTGCTTTATCTTCCTCAGTTTCTCTCTACCTGTTTTCCACACCACAGGCTTCAGCTTGACCACAACACCAGTCTGGTCCATACTGCTACCCTGGCTCATTGGCTCCCTTCTGCAGCATGGGTGTGGGGAGGCTGAGGAGAGAGGAAGCAGAAACACCACCAGCAGCCTCCGCCAGCTGCAGAGAGAGGCACCTTGATGGCTTCTTACAGCTCTCTGCAGTGATGCTGCAGCTCTCTGCAGACAGGCAAGACTGGAACCTGTTGTGGCTAAGTCAAGAGGAGGTGCTATCAGTCCCTGGCCACAGTGCCTGCAGAAGCAGGCAGGGGTGCCTGTGCTCAGAGGCATGTCGTGGCATTCCAGCACTGCAGTGTGCATGTCCTGGGAAATGGGCTCTCACCTCCATCTCAGAGTGGATGTGTTTTAGCTGAGTGATCTCTGTACCAAACTGTGCAAACAAGCCTTTGTGCTCAAAGACAACATTTCTGGGTGACATCCTGTCTTTCTGCCTGCTGGTTGTCTAACCTGTGGCTGTGTGCTGTCTGGTCCTGTGAATGCATTTCTGCCTCCAGGGGCCTCCTAACAGGGCTAGCTTAGAAGTGTGAAAGGATTGCCCCATCCCCACCTCACCCTAACAAGTCTTCCTGCACTACACAACTTCCTGCTGGTTTTCCTTTGTCTTCCAGAGCTGTAGGCAAAACCTGTCTCCTCATCAGCTACACCACCAATGCCTTCCCAGGAGAATACATCCCTACTGTGTGAGTAAAGGAATAAACTGGTTCTGGGGTGGATGGGAGGCATGGAAAGCAGGATGCAAAGGGGTTCAGAAACCCGTTGTTGTTCACCCTGAAGGCAGGGTTATGATGTCCATGCCAGCAGAGGACGGACTGCCAAACTGGCAAAGGTGCCCCTACACTTCAGATCCGTCACCTTTTACCAGAAGCAAGTGGACTTATAAACCCCTAGTATCAATGGGACATTTGGGAGAAATAAACCAACCCAAGGGTCTATCTGCCTGCTAAGTTCATACATGGTTTACACACAGATGGGGTCCTTCTAGGCAAAACAACCAGGCACAAAATTGGCCTAGACCCAAGAGAAGACAGTTGGATAGATAGAAGTCCCCACTTCCTTCCTTATCACTGGAGCAGGCACTGATAATGCTGACAGTAAGAGTGCAGGATCCAGCTCAGTGCCAGAATAGAAGCACTATGCAATCCATCAGATGTATGCATGAGGGTGGGACGGACATGCAGACTCTTAGCATAAGAAACAAGCTTAAGGTTGCTTTAGTCTGAGTGGCCAGATGCATTTGTACTTCCAAAGAGCATGGGATTATGTTTGGGGATGCACACCATACATACTCATATCACACCACAGGGATGTGCAGTATGACTATACACTTCCTTAGGTGGGAAAAGGAGCTAGGCACAGTATGTCAGACTGCCAGCTCAGGTTCAGATTCCTTGGGAAGGAAAGATGCAGGAAAACCTTAGTGTCACTGTTTTCTTCAGACCAATTTGCAGTGGCATTACAAAACACAGCTGGGGCAGCAAGAACCCTTCTTTTCTCAGAAACTGGTTTGTGGAAGGACATCATCCCTCCAAGCACGTAGCCATGAAGTGGCTATGCATTTTGTGTGTCACACACCATTTCTCCTCCTATCTGAGGCTTATGCCTGGAGACATGAAAGGGAGGCCGTTCTGTGGTCCTGGACTGCATAGCTTATCTCACAGTGGTGGTGTATGCTGTGAGCACATTCACAAGGTCTTTCTGTTGGAGCAAAGGGGAGGAACATCTCTATTGTTTTAATATATACATATATTTATTTCTATGAAGTCTTTGCTCTCAAGCATGCAATCCTGATAGCTGTTCTAAAATATTTCACACTGAATTGTCAGAGTAAGTGGACACACCTTGGCATACTGGTTCAGTAGGGGTGTTGAGGAGTGCAGGGCTGAGGGAGCTACAGATACAAGGATTCTTCTTCTTCACTTTTAAGAAGAAAGAAGGGGTTTGGAGTACAGAAGAAACACAGGGACTTGGTTAGAGCAGACATAGTTGTGGGAAGGATACTGGAGAAAACTGAAGGTTTTATGGATCTGCATGAAAGATGGCAAAGGCAGAGCTGCAGCCGGGCACCTGCGCAGGACAGATGGGGAGGAGGTTGCTGCTGAGTGGGAAGTCCATAAGGTTCATAGCATCACCTAGGTGAGCTGAGAAGAGGAATCACCACCCTTTGCTCCCGGGTGCACCTAGCAAATCCCAGCTACATTACTGGAAGAGCTCCCTCTTCTCCTGTTTGAGCTACGGTCTATGTCTCTGAATTCCAGGTTTGATAACTATTCCGCCAACGTGATGGTTGACAGCAAGCCTGTAAATCTGGGGCTATGGGATACTGCTGGACAAGAGGATTATGACAGGCTGAGGCCGCTGTCTTACCCGCAGACGGTGGGTCACACTCTATGTCCCTCCTCCCTTATTCCTCCATCAAATATGCCTTTGGCCCCAGTGCAAAAATCAACGTTTGCCTTAAAACGGTGACATGACTGTTCCTGTCTCTCTCTGCCCTTTTTTAAGAATACCTCTGTTGATATACAAGTGCTTTGAAACCCTTAATGTAAAAGGCATCTAAGGGTATTTTGGAGATTTCATCTACTGGTGCAACATAGCAAGAAAACCCCTGGGATTAAAAGAGCCAAACTGCCCTTTTGTGAAGTTAAAGTGGCTCAGGGAATTCAGGAACTGAGGCAGGAGCTTCTTACATTTCTGTGAACCCTACTATTCTGGCTTCTGCCTTTTAAAAGAGATCTGATGTGGAGACACATGTGTTTGATCTGCTGATGCCTCAACTAAGCCCAAGCATCTTGCAGAACAAATGGATGCCTCCACAGACACACAGATTCACCAGTTTTTCATCACATTAACAGAGTGATTTTGGGTTTAAAGATCACTTTCCCTGGAGGATGCTGTTCCAAACAGTCTCTTGGCAAGCTCAGAAAGACACTGCTGCCTCAGGCGCTGGTCTCAAGGTTGCCATTGCAACCAAAAGGGCTAGGAATTGAAGGCACTATTTGTTTCAGCTAGGTTCAGCCACTTAAAAGCCAGACACCTGGTATAAGCTGTTTGTGTAGGCTCCTTCTATAGTCAGTGCAAGCAGCTGTATTTCTCAGTAAAGTGCTTGCATCCACCCTGGGACACATCCCAAGGATAGGTGCAGGATCTGTTTTCCAAGTGTTTTGCCTCTAATGGTTATAGAAGTATGGAAATGAATAGGCTGGGCCTGACACCCTTCCTTTAGCTTTGTTGGGTGAAATAAATATAACCCACAAGAGCTGGTTTGGTTTGGTTTTTAGTGCAAGTCAAAATTTTTCCATGCCCCAGGAGAAGCACTTATGCGGATAACCAAAATTCGACCTCATTTGTGTCCTGCATGTGCACTTTTCGGGCTGACCATAGCTCTGTCTCAACAGCAGGCAAAATTATTGTGTCTTGAAGGCTTTCTGGTGTTCTGTGAGAAATGAGCGGGATGCTGTCAGGCCATTTCCCATGAGGATGAGTGTGCCTACCACAAAAACCCCATCCTCATAGTTAAACATTTGGCTCTTCTGATAAGGGTGGCTATGGTTACCATGAGTCAGGGGAGCAAACGTCCTTCTCCCCTCTAGAGGCAATTAGCAGCATTCAGGACTGTCTTACACTGAGAGACCGCTTTCCCCAGCATGACTCTTTGCTGCAGAGGGAACATGCTGCCCACCTAGCTCCTCTCCCCTCTTTGCCCCCTTGTCATGCAATCCCATGTTCTCAGCCTAACTCTGTGCCATGGTTGTATACTTACAGGATGTCTTCCTGATCTGCTTCTCTCTTGTCAGCCCAGCATCTTATGAAAACGTTCATTA